AGGGGAACCCTAAATAAGGTACATTTCTATTTACAATAAAGAATCTTATTGGGACAGCTGTCTAACCGCCTAGTACAGATTCGTACAAATCTATTCCGGGATTTGCGCCACGATCTTGGGGACGTGGCGGGAATCTTGCTCATTCTGTTACAAAATCCACAATGGCATTATCTCGAGGCCAGTCACATTAGGCTTCGTCGTTCATCGGACACTTAGTTCTTCGAACTTCGTACTCTGCCTTCGAGCTCGAACTCGATCCATCTTCAACTCGGGCTCAAGGCATCCCCTCGAGCCCGGGGAAATGGGCATACCCGAATACAGATAGTCCCCGTGTTTCTTAGAGTAAGATGATAAGAAACGAATTGAGTCCTTGGTCCTTACCCCGATTTGTTATGACATCATCATCGTAAGTGACTGAGGAAACAAAAGATTGGAAGCTGGCCTTTCCCGAGGACAACTCCGAGAACTCTAGCGAGTCCGGCGGTGGAGAAGACTCTGAGGGTAAAGACGCTTCTGCCGATAAGGATCGCGCTGCTTAGGTTTCGTGTTCTTCGTGATTTTTCGCTTTTGAGGCTGATTGGCCCTTGTGAGGCACTCTTGATCGTGACCTATAGCCCTTGTAAATAGGTTTATACAAAGCTTTTATCCTTCCATGGATCCTGAATCTGTTACCCTTTTGTGCGGGTCGGAGTGTCTTAGCATAAAATTCCTTTGAATGTCCACAGTTTTGAGATGGTAACGGCCGACAATAAGTACAGCCCTCGACCGTTTCTGATCAAAGGACCCCGAATGACCATTTGAGCTTGAGTTTGAGTAGATCTTAGGCCAAATAGTCGATGAGGTAAGGTAGCCCTTGGGCTTGATGGTTGAGTGAGTATATGCTCGGACTTGAAATGAAAATAGCCCTTAGGCTTTATCGTCGAGTGAGGATTTGCTCGAACTTGAAGAAAAGTTAGCCCTTAGACTTCATAGACAGTCCCTGAGTGAGAATTTTGTCGAAATCGGGTAGCCCTTGGGCTTAGTAGTCGAGTGAGTGCTTGCTCGAACTCGAAATAAAATTAGCCCTTAGGCTTCATAGATAGTCCCCGAGTAGAATTTTCTCGAACTCGGGTAGCCCTTGGTCTTAGTAATCGAGTGCGTGCTTGCTCGAACTCGAAGTAACGTTAGCCCTTAGGCTTCATAGATAGTCCCCGAGTGAGAATTTTCTCGAACTCGGGTAGCCCTTGGGCTTAGTAATCGAGTGAGTGCTTGCTCGAACTCGAAATAAAGTTAGCCCTTAGGCTTTTATATAATGGCCCTTAGGCTCTTTAGATCGGCCCTTAGGCTCTTTAAGTTGGGCCAATTTGACCTCTAAAAACGGCTATAATTTTTCCCTCTTTTCGGCTAAAAGACTTAGTGAAATTGTTTCTATGCCTTAGCATGTGTTTTTTGTACCCGTTGGGTTTTTTGAAGGTTTGATTGATCGGAACCTTATTTGTAATTTCGTTTGCGTAACGATAATCGAATACCTCTTGAGGCTTTTTCGAAGGCTGATGTAATCGAAGCTGTAAATTATTCGAGGGATGATTCTATCGAAGCCCTTTATCATTTGCTTTTGCCGAGGGTAGCCTGATTTAACCGGTTTTTCAAAGTGTTTGAAGGCCTTTATTTTATGGCGGAAGTCGGACGTCTTCGTGCCGCATTATTTCGGCCGTAGCCATTTTATATGACCGTAGTATTTATTATGGCTGTAGCCTTCAGGTATGTCTCTTGGACTTGTTTCCCGATAACATTTGGAACTTGTTCGAAATGTTAGTCCCCGAGTGTGATGGCCTTGGCCTGTATATCGGGGGATGCCTCTTTGAGGTGTTATTATTTCGAACTTAGATAGCTCGAGTAGGTAGTCCCCGAGTGTTCGAGGTATTCTTGCACTTGGGTTAAGATAGTCCTTGGGCTTTTATGATCGAGTGAGGATTTGCTCGATCTCGAAATAAAGTTAGCCCTTGGGCTTCATAGATAGTCCCCGAGTGAGAGTTTGCTCGAACTCGGGTTATTTTGTATTTGTTACGGATTTCGGGCGTCTCCGATCCGCGTTAATTTGGCTGTAGCCTCTTTAGTTCGAAACTTGCCCGTTGGACTTATCCTCTGTTTCACTTCGAGCTTGCCCGAAGTGTCAGTCCTCGAGTGGGGTAGCCGTGGCCCGTAAAGTCGAGGATTGCCTTTAAGGTACTATGGTCTCGAAATGTTAGTAGTTTGATTCCGTTTGTTTTTGGGACGGCAGTCCTCAAGCATGGGGCCAGTTGTTCGAATTTCCGTCGTGGTCGGCTCTTAAGCATGTTTACACAATAGATCAAGAGTATAAAATATGAAATTTTTAAAGGAATGGGATATCGACAAGGAAAAATACTTTTCTCAATAGATGATTGTACATGCGCACATGTTTGATGTTAGGGTCCAAGTAACCTACACGGGCACGGTTCATCTGACCGTTTGGCGCTTACAACATTCTCCTATAGAGACCCCGCTGTCACGAAGTGATTTTCTTGCAACAAAGTAGACATTCGAGGGTAATGTCCCCAGTACTCGAGGCTTATTGTAAGGAACCTCGGATACAGTTGAATTGCTCTAAATTAGCACGAACAACGGTTGCCTCGTTAAAAACCTCACCGAAAAAAACCCATTTGGGACAAAAAACGGTCTAAGGGAAAAAGAGTGTAATGCGTGCTTTAAGATCCAAAGCTTCGTGCCGATCCTTGTCGCTAGCCTGCAAGTGTTAGTCGAAAGAACAGGGTCGTACCTTTATTCGGATTTTGGATATTTAACGCGATCTTCCTCGGCATCAAGCCCCCGTGAATTTTGAACTCGATCATTTCTCCTCTCATTTTGTGCGAAGCTTCACCCAGAACCACTGCCTCTATGGTTTCCGCTGTATGGTTGATATCGATCTCCATTCGACCTCGGCTCTCGATCGATATCCCTTTTAATCCTATCCACGGTCCTGCTAGGATAAACGGACCCCGAAGGAGCCCCAGTTGCTCATCTTCGACCCTAATCTTCGACTGATACCGATTATGTACGTCGACCCAAGTGACAGCCGAGTACTCGATTAAACTTTGCTTCAACTGCTGTGAAGCTATGAAAATCCGAGTGTTAAGACCTTGAGTGAAAGCTTGAACAGCCCAGTCATCGGTGATCGGAGGCAAATCCATTCTCTACGCTTTGAACCGAGATACGAATTCCCGAAGCATCTCGTTATTTTTCTGCCTTACCTTGAAAAGGTCCGACTTCCTTATTGCAATTTTAATGGCTCCGGCGTGTGCCTTTACAAAAGAATCTGCAAGCATAGCAAACGAATCAATAGAATTAGAGGGTAAGTTATGATACCATATTAAGGCACCCTTCGATAGAGTGTCCCCGAACTTCTTCAGCAGTACAGACTCGATTACGTCATCTTCCAAGACGTTTCCCTTAATGGCGTATGTGTAAGAAGTAACGTGTTCATTTGGGTCAGAGGTTCCGTTGTATTTAGGTATATCGGGCATACAAAACTTTTCTGGGATGGGCTTCGGAGCCACACTCGGAGGGAATGACCTTTGTATGAATTTCTTGGCATCCAATCCCTTCAAGATCGGGGGAGCTCCCGATATTTGATCGACACGGGAATTATAAGTTTCCACCTTTTTGTCATTGTCATCAATCTTCTTTTCCCCGGACTCGATCCTCTTGGTGAGCTCTTCGAGCATTCTCATAATGGTGGGGTCAGTTCCCGAGCCATTTTCATTTGACCTCTCTGGCGCCGGTTCAGCACGTCGAGTGTTTTCTGGTTCGGCTATACTCGGAGTTTAATAATTCTGACTCTGAAGTTGAGCGATGGGAATCTGCTGAGCTTGCAGCATCTCGAATATCACTTGGAGGCTGACTCCCCCATCTCCTATACCTTGTGTTCCTTGGCCCCCAGATCAGGCCTCCCTGCGTACACTTCCTCCGGGGTCTGCGCCTAAATCTGCATCCAAAGCAATGTGCGAATTAACATCAACTGGTTCCACATTTGGCATTTCCCCAGGGTTTATCGGTGGTACACCGACCCCTACATTGTTGTTTTCCCCATGAAATTCGAGACCTTCATTGTCATTAACAGGCGCGTTTTGCGAGTTTGACATGTTTAATCCTGAGAATAAAAATTCTTGACAAGAAAAAGTGTAAAAATAACGTGTGTTATGAGAATCAGTAATGAAATAATCACTACTGATTTAGTTCAGCCACACGGTGGGCGCCAAACTATTTACCTCGAAAATACGAGAACAATTAAATTTAATTTGTGGTTTTAAAGATATGTGATTTAGTTCAATACCAATTAATAATCAAGAAGAGTAACGTATAAGTGAAAGAAATGAGTAAATCAAACCAGTGTTACTAGGCAGTATCGACCTCGAGCCCAGTGACATCGAGATGGATCAAGAACAATAAAGCTAAAGGACAATTCTGATGAACAATGAGCAAGAAAAGTAATAGAGTATATTCTTTGCCAATGATTAGATGGTCTTTACAAATGATTGGGGTCCCCTTTATATAATAGGGAAACCCTAAATAAGGTACATTTCTATTTACAATAAAGAATCTTATTGGGACAGCTGTCTAACCGCCTAGTACGGATTCGTACAAATCTATTCCGGGATTTGCGCCACGATCTTGGGGACGTGGCCGCATTCTTGCTCATTCTGTTACAAAATCCACAACGGCATTATCTCGAGGCCAGTCATATTAGGCTTCGTAGTTCATCGGACACTTAGTTCTCCGAACCTTGTACTCTGCCTTCGAGCTCAAGCCTGGTCCATCAAGCTCGAACTCGAACCATCTTCAACTCGGGCTCAAGGCATCCCCTCAAGCCCGGGGAAATGGGCATACCCGTATACAAAAGGCATCAAAATGTTCGGACAAACGAGGTTGTTACGAAAAACTTTGATTGTATAATATATGTTCTTTAAAGACATTCTTGAAACGAGTTAAGAAAAATACCGACACATTCACCAAGTAAATTTTTCCTTAAAATATCCAGATAATCTAATGGGTTGGATCATCTACTTGACGATCCTTTCATTACATTCCAACCATTGGTCAAGTGAGAAAGTCAACAATAATAGAAGTTCAAATCAATGACGAAACCGCCAAAAAAGAAGGAAAAAAGAAAAGGAAAATTGTTGCAGGTGAAATAGCCTATATGGAATCCAAAGCCTGCAGAACATCAGCTTTCAGATCTTCAAAGTCTTCCACTCCGAAGCTGAACCGAACCAAGTTGTCCATGATCCCATACTTAGCTCTATCTGACTGGGAAAGATCCCTGTTTTCGGAATGTAAAACAATATTATTTACAAAATATTTTCATTTTTAATTTACCTTGACTTCCCAAAACTTCCCCAGACCATAGTAGAGCGGGAGGTTACATTTCCTATTTCAATTTCCGAGAGTGAATGTAATGCCGACGGTGGATCAGGTGTGAACATCTTGATTCGGAGCCGATCTCTTGTATCGGAGCAAACAAATTCAATGATTTTATTTTATTTTTATTGTTGCGCCTCTCAAGATATTAATCCTTGATATCAAACTTCTTTGAGTTTCCAAAGTTTCGCCAAACATGCTCGGAGAAAGTTAAAGGGGGAACAGAGACACCACCAGCCTAAGAATAGAATATATATTTTGGATAAGTAACCATGGAATTGAATATTGACATACCAGTAAGACATTATTGCTGGTTGGTCCACAATGCTCTCACAACCTCCAAATGATGGAGCAATATAGGGAATTCTCAGAGCATCCACAAATTTTGCAGTAGTTAGGAGGTCTCCATCAACCTTACAAAAAATATAGCCTTTTGATTTACTGCACGTAAAAAAAGGAAATGAAAGGAATACTTGGTTAACCAAGGATCATAGATTCATCATCAAATACAAACCTCAAAACTGACCACACCACCAAAGCCAGTCATTTGCTTCTTTGCAATATGATATTCTGGATGACTCGGCAACCCTGGATAATAGACATGTTTCACCTGCAACTCATTTCTTTCAGATATAACAGCGCTTGCAAGACCGGCACAGATCCTAATGAAGAGCAGGAAAAACAAGACCTCTAAACTCCAACTCAACTGCACAAAGAAAAGCTAAAAGTGCGGGATGACAGCAACTTTTATGTTCATTAATCAGGCAATCATGCATTAGGACGAAGTAGCTACATGACTTAAGGTGGATTATACAGGAGTATAAAAAAAATAGAAGCTCCACAGCTTAAGTCAAGCAGGTAAGATGTAGAATTTTACAGAGGTAAGAGAACACAGATCCTGATACCGATGTTAGGCTCCTAAGATTGGCATTTGCTTTAATCAATATCAAGTGGAACATTCTTACTTTTCTCATGCATATGAAATCTCATGAGTATCAATTAGGTGATTGTGCTCTGTTCCAAGTTTGAATTTCAAATCATGACTGATCGAGTTACTGAAGCCTAGAATACCTTGGGATGAGCCTCTAAAATCTCGGCCATCCTCAATGCAGTTGAGTTTTGTTGCTGTACACGAAGATGCAGCGTCTTCATGCCTCGGATGATAAGATATGCAGCATTCTGGTAGATGGGAAAATTGAATCAGACTGCAATACAATACAAGCTTAAAATGCAAACTGCACTTCATACAACATCAACAACTATGCCACAATCCCAAGCTAGTTGACCCAGCTTTATGAATCCTCTCTATCAATGTCGCTCCATTTAGACCCGTCTCGATCCAATATTGAAAAATATAGGTTCTTGGTTCTCTAACGCTGAAAATTCTCTACATTTTCTACTGGCACAGAAACCTCTAACAAGAGTAAAAGACGCCCAGTGAATATTGGACCTAAAGTAAGTTGATCAACATGACTAGGCCTTAATCCCTTGACTTCATACATTTTATTTATTTATTTTACGGGAATACACTTCATACATTTTTAAACAACCCAAATACCGTACTAGTACTAAAGTCCACTTTAAGAGCAATTTTTCCTTCACCAAATTTAACTTGCACATATACAGCATAGTAAGCCAGGGAATTAAGTCAAGCAAGACATCAGTAAGGAAACTCACTGGATTGATAGCACCACCCAGAATATGATGCAAGTTTCGAACTACTGAAACTAATTCTAAAGGACCACTAATGCAACCTGCAAGAACCTGCATGAAGTACACAGCAAAGCAGTCAGTTTGATATTGCTAATGGCGGTATAGTTGTTTAATTGTCCAAACACCAGCTGATGCCACTTACGTCATTGTGCCCGCCAAGGAATTTTGTAGCAGAGTGCAGAACAAGGTCAGCCCCTAGAGCAAGGGCCTTTTGGTTAAGAGGAGTCGCAAACGTCCCATCTATGCAAACCAAGGCTCCTTTTTCATGACAAAGCTTTGAAACCAGCTCAATGTCAACACATCTCAGGAATGGATTTGTTGGAGACTCGGTAAAGAAAAGATTCACCTGCATTGAACAAGGTAGCAGACAATGGGAACCATCTTCACTTCTCTATCTATTTAAGTTCAGAACTGTTGAGTGATAAGCAACAGTGTGTCTGCATACTGACTTTCTTCTGATTTAGTGCCAACTCCAAAGCTCCAATATCCGCTGGATCAATGACTGTGGCCTGCAGGAATGGAACACTTCAGCATTTTCCCCCTTAGATTAATTCACAGAAGAGAAATGTTATGGTTCGATTATATTATTCGCCAGCAGCTTTTAGAGTGTTGCCTAGAATGAATTTATGACATTCATTTTCATTACCAAAATAAAGACAACAACTCAATTCTGAATAACATTTTTTTCTCTTGTCAAGAAATCTTGTAATATCTCTACACTTTAAACTAGAATGACAGGTATCTTAAGCATTTGGATTAGCGGAAGTACCGTAATTCCCATTTTAGGCAGTATCGTCTCAATAAAAATACGGGTCTTCCTGTAACAATCTGTGGTTGTTACAATATGGCCACCAGCAGGAACCAAGGCCAACAGCATTACAGTACTGGCACACATTCCAGATGCCATTACCAAGGTTGATTCAGCGCCCTCAAGTGCACTGTTAGAGATACAAATACCTCATTTACTAGAATACATTGCCACTTAGTAATGATCCCATAAGACAACTAGAGAAAGTAAAAAGAACAGACAAAAATAAAAAAATGAAAAACTAGTTAATCAAAGATAAAGCTAACCTTATTTTCTCCTCTAGAACAACAGTAGTGGGGTTACCATAGCGCCCATATTCAAAACTTGCACGTCTTTTTTCCTGCCAAATTATCATAAAATGAAATTAATCATAAAGACAAATTCAGCTTGCTGAAAAGATGTTCTTAATATTCTCTTTTACCAATATGATGGTATACCATTATACTATTTAACAAAAGCTGACAGCAAGTAGCTAGGGCTGTGCTATGACTTCCCCTTTCAAGCCAGGAACTCTTCATTGGAACTAGAGAGAGAATATGTTTTTAACTCAACTCATGAATCAAATACAACAGTAAATACCTTGAAATCGATGGAAAAAAATACCTTGAAATCAATAAGGTCAGAAGTTTTGTTGAAGAAGTAAGCAGACGTGTTAACCACTGGGGTAGTTATGGCATCAGTAACAATACCGCGTCCCAACCTTTCACCTGAAGAAGAACAGGAACAAACAAAGTATGTTTTATCTCCATTCACACAGCTGAAATGAAAGCACAGAATTACTCCCATCCTCTCAAAACCTTATTGTTGCCAATTGCACTATACGAAGGTAATTCTTGAAATATTCTTCATTCAAACAAGAGAATATTCATAAAAATACGTATATGTTAATTGACAAAAGAAACTTTTTTTGTCACAGGAGGCTACCCAACAACCCCCATGCATTTGGGCAACAATATTCAAGGAACAAGATTCCTTTTTCTTTCTATCATTTAGTTGTGGTTTGCTAGAAGAGGAAAAGGACAGAATTAACAGTGTTGAAGTCAAAATCCAAGTCAGAAATGGTGCTTGGAATGGAAAATGAAAGAACCACTTCTTTCATTTTCCACTCCAACCCACCATTATTTATTGGGTTTGGCTTCCAATAAAGAGTTAGGGTAAAAGAAAAAGTTCGGAGGGAATACACAGAAAACCCTCATTTCCTCCTTCTCTTCCTTCCCGCATAAACACATACAGCGAGAATTCGCATTTAGCAAATGTAAAGAGATTCATCCTTAAGCCAAGACACCAATTTTTTTCAGCAGATATGACATCTTAACTGCAATACCTTGAAATTTGGCTCAGAGTGCAAAGTCGAACCTTAATTCTTTTTCTTTTTTTGGTAGAACCTCAATTCTACTGAGCATTATGAGCTAATTCAACAAACTGATAAATAAAGTTGAACTATTTTCAAGCCCTGATATCCAAAAAAAATCTATCCAATTTTAATTTGAAGTGCTACATACTTTTATCCTCAATTTGAGAGCCTTCACTGTGACTCGTCATCTTCAGTCTAAACATCAATGGAAACTGATAAGGCCCGAGACAAATTTCATTTCATGCATCTCTTCCAAGATTGTCAAGTAAACTATGGGCTTAAACCATTCAATTAATCAATCAACTACACCTCAATCCCAGATGCTTTATAAAATTATCTATACCCCTTCCTCTCTATATCGGTTGAGACCATTATAAGATAAAGCATATTCATTACACGCCACTGCATGGATGATGGACCGTCCTAATTTATGCTCCCGGCTTCCACATTATGTGGAAAAGTTGAAAGCACGGAGTTTACAAAAATGAATTTTGAAATATGTGGTCTTAAACGTGTGATAACAGTTAGCTTTCCAAGTTTAGAAACTTGCTGTTCTTTTTGGAACAAACAGAAAAGGAAATGTTGTCGCATAAACTGGAACGGACAGTAATAGTAATCAGAGTTTTCAGAATATAATCCACGAACCAAGGCATAACGACAGGGGAAACCGAGAACAAACTAGACGGCAAAGTGAGAGGGCCATAAAACCATACCAGCATGAATAGCGACGCTTCCATCGGAATTCAAAAACGAAGCGTATTTATTAACACCTGTCAAACCCTCAATCTGTACATTTTCATCATTACAAGCCGCATTTTCTACCAACGGAGCAAAGGCGGAGGAATCGACGGCATTAGCCGCCGGAGTGAAGTCAGGAACGGCGTGGTTGTTAGACCACGAAGCCGCCACAACTTGAGCCACGCCGATGTTGCTGCAGTTCCTCCGAGCCTTAATGCTTAGTTGCCTCACGAAGTTCGGAGGAAACCTGAAAATCAGAGAAGACAGGCCGTGTACTAGAGATGGGGGACTTGCCGAGCTAGCCTTGCCGGAGAATCGAACGCCGGCTTTCGGGCTCGGAAGACTGCCGGAGAAATCGGGGTCCGAACGGCATTCGAATGACGGAATTACCCTAGCAAAGCTGGAGACAGCCATTGGTTCTAGGGGGTTAAAAATGTAATTCTACGACGGCAATGAAAAAGAGATGAAAGTTAATTCACGGAATTGTGTTCCACACAAGTTTAAATACTTGTCACAAAAGGTACTGTATTACTATTAGAATCAGAGAATATGCGCAGTTGACCTTTGTCGTCTTGTAAAAGGAAAAAATTAAATATTGGGCAAAACACAATACTACAATACTCCCTCCGGTTCACAATAAATGTTCAATTTACTTTTAGCACGCCCATTAAGAAAATACTAAATTTTATACAAAAATTTACTATGACTAAACTACCCCTAATTAAACATTTAATGTGAGAAGTAAGAAAACTTTTAGAGATATGTACATAGGGAATATTTTGTAAAAACAAATTGAATTCTTTCTTGATTATATAACTGGACACTTATTTTGAACCAAAATGAAAAAGTAAATTAAACACTTATGTTGAAACGGAGGGAGTAGTATGATAGTTGAGACGCAAATGTGACCGTTAACAAATTTTAGTTGGTCAAGTAGGTTAGGTTAACAAGTTGAAATGTGACATTCTCAACTACCAAGGAATCTCCACATTTAATAAATGTCTCGATGTTAATTATTGCATAATAATTCTTTTATTATTAATCATCAGAAATTTCTGCAGTAATAATCTTTAGGGCATCTCCAACCCTCCCCATTTCTTTGTAGTGGAGTTATTTTTTTGTCAAAATGCATCTCCAACCCTCCCCGTTTTTGCCCCCAAAATGGAGGATGAATAGTGTTACTCCAAATATGGAGTGACACTATTCATCTTTTCCATTACTATTCATCCTTATTTATTATTATTTTTATTATTTATCTCTTTTAATTTATCTCTTTATATATACCTAATTATGTTTATGTAATATCTTTATAATATTAATTTTACATCTTAACTTTGGCGTATAATTTTGATAAACTAATTTTCGTGCATTTACTATTTTTATTTAAAATTGTAAGTTAATTTTATTATAAATTATAATTGTACAAAAATATATATAATCATCTAAAAAAATAAATGGTGCAAATATAAAATATTAGATGTTACTAAATTGAAAGGTGCGAATAACTGCATGTATTATACTGCACAACATGATAGTAGAGGATGAACATGATCTTAATGCACCAATTCAAGATGATTGGAAATGTCCACCTCCAACGGTAAAATGGTAGTAGATGAAAATCACCGATTTGAGCAATTTTTAGCTCGACACAAAAAAATTAAGGACAAAGATGCTCATTTTTCACTTTGTAATGCATTAATAAATCATTTATGAGAGCATACTAGAGGTGAAAGTTGATTATTTATGTACTATTTAATATGAAATTTTACCATAATATAATATGTATTTAATTAATTAGTATCTCAATGATTCACATTTATTTGAATTATCCGTCAATATATAATCTATAATATTTGCTTACAATTATATTATTTAAAAATTTACGGTATAGAATAAATTTATATTAGATTATATGTGATGAATATGTAAAAAAAAAGGATAGATTTTCTTTAATAGAAATAAAATTTAAATATTAAAGAGAGGGAAGAATATAAAATGGAATATTCTTTTTTGGAATAAAAAATAAAGTAATAATTGGAGTAACTTTAGTCCATTTTGAAGGAGAAAATGGAGGCAAGGGTTGTAATTTGCAAATTCATGCCTTAACTTGTCTTCTCAACCAATTTTTTAAATAATTAAGTTTAGTAGGAGAGAAGAAAAGGATATGTTGGAAAGAGAGTGGCATGTGCAAAATAATAGGGCAGTTGAATGTCTAACAAAGGCCAAAGAGAATTGAATTTTTTCGGTGGGAAAGCTAGAAGGTTGGCTATGGGTTGGTTCAAATTCGTGAACTTTAGTTTAAACCTTAACCAACAAGGGTTGTGGTGGAGTGGTAAGTACTCCTTCATCCTTAACTAGAGATTTCGAGTTCGAGCCCCTGGGCATGGAGTCCCCTTTGTTAGGGAGCGCTTTACCCCCCAATGTGGGACTTCACAGCGCGAATCTGTATTAATCGGGCCCCAATGTGAGTACCGCATACCGGGTGAGAAATAAAAAAAAAAAAACCTTAAAGCAAAGACCATTTTTAGTCCGCGATCAAAATTATTTATATTCGCTAGTCGCAAAAATGTATAAAATTTGTATCTTTTTTTGTATATAACACACACAAAACATATACATAAAAAATATACTTTTTCGGCTATTATTTTGAGAGCGCCTATATAGTGTAATTTTTTTTATTAAATATTAATTAAATATGTACAAAAATTAAAATTAGAACTCAATTACTAACACTACATATCGTTATCCTAGAATTAAGAACTAATAAAGTTCAAATCTTGATTCCGCCTCTAACCTTAGTTTCTCATGCAACACTGCATTATGAAAAAAGAACTAATATATGTATATAATATTATTTTCAAAAAACATTGTATCTAGTAAAGCATTAGAATACCCACACGTTTAGAACAAATATGCATACAAATTGAGTTATGAAAATAAATCGATACCACTTGTATAAAATTCTATGTATATTACGGGTTGTCAGAATATTAGTTCATCACCTAACACATTAATAATTAAGGAGACTTACATAATAATATTAAATAGGGAGACCTATAACATACAACATGAATCAGACGTCCCGGTTAAATAAGAATGAGCATCTTTCCGGTACCGCCGAGGAGTGTGTTGATATAAAATTACTAATAAAGATTTTGGAGTTTCCTGCGTACAAGTAAACATAAGAGAAGCACACCAATGAGATTGTGGCGGAATAATAAGTACTCCTTTATCATTAATCAGATATCTCGAGTTTGAGTGAAACAACCTAGATAATATACCAAACCAACTAATTGTATTAACTCAACACTAATGGGAATTACAAAGCATTTGCTAATGATAATAAGGACAATGCACCGAAATCTAAGAAGAATGGAGATGAGGAATAGACTGATACAGAATTGGGGATGAGATAGACACAGAGCTAACACCTTGATAATTTTCGCATAAAATGAACTACGCCTTCTACTGTATTTATCACTAATTTTCTCAACTTTCACACACTGAGAACCTGCTTATGCTCAAAACGGGTCCCACACATAGTTTTCCAAATTGCCAAATATGTCCTCCACCAAGTCACTTACTGAGTTCACAACAATACCGCCCGCCTCAAAAAGAACCTTGTCCGCAAGGTTTGAGTAAAGCAAAAATTGCAGCAATATCCGCTTGACACTGTCAACAGCAAACAAGCAATTCAAATCAACTTCTTTGCATCTGGTATGAGACATAATAATATGGTAATGAGAATAACCATCTGCCATCAAGGAAAACCATCCAAATATATGTGAATTAGTACCAAGGTTGTCGTTTTGAAGTGAAATCAACTTCATCCAATCAAAGAGATCCTCAACCTTATACCTTATGTCATACCTTAAGGTACCCAAAAGAGCATCAGCAACAAGCTTAATGTACTGGCTTATCACTCCTGCATCAGTGCAAATAAATGCACATGAAAGGGCAACAAAAATTAGTCTAATCTCAAAGTGAACAACTCCTTTTCCCATCCCTAGTGTTAACATTGGGAAAGGCATTCCAAGGAATTTTTGCTTCCTCACTGAGAGTATAGCCATGGAAACTAGATCAAGCCATCAGACATTAGGGATAAAATGATTGAAGGAATGTTGCACCCTTTTGTCCATGTAACGATGATCTGATGTCATCCAACCAACATTTTCAGGGGCCTCAAAAATATCCGCAGCAGCTGCACTTAGTAATTTGGGTCGAGGTAGCAGCTCCACAGAATAATATGTACAACCACCACCAAGCAGAACATTGGCAACAACCCCCTTCCTACATACATGACCGTAGGCATTAGGTAGCAGAACCTGAATTCCTGGATCATAGGGGTAAAGGTCGAAGCATTGGCTTGCACTAACTTGCCCAAGTAGTCCTGCGTCCTTACATAAACAACACATGATGCGGACTTCCCCTCACTATAAACCCAATCACCCCATAGTGTAGCTATTAGATCATAAGTAGAAAAAATAACACTATTTGCAAACATATTCCCGTTGATAGCATATGTTATAACTATATTATGTATACCAGGAGCAAAGAGAAGATTAGCAAAATTGAGATAAACAACTAAATCTGCTATGGAAGATGAATAACGTTGCAAAAAATATATGACGGTTTGGAAACCCAGCTTGGCAAGCCCTCTAAATGGCTTCATGTTAAGCCTAACATCCAGTAAGTCCATATCCATGAATTCTACAGTGTCATATATATAGTTTCCAGTATGAACTAATTGACTTGATCGACCAAGCATATCTACAATGATGACATATTATGCATTGTCATGTTCGAGCATCGACTCTTCCATTAAGTTGAAATAATGCAGTCCGTTATCAAGCTTTAAGAAATTTGCTCGCACTTTGCTCTTCCATCCTTCTTTATCAGCCAAATAGCCAAGACCTTACTAGGTTGATGCAACGTTAGAACTGTAGAAGCAGGAACTCCAACCCCGTAAGGAAGCATCATTAAAATCTTGTATACGGGGCTGTAGTGAGTGATGTATTCTTCATAATAAATGAGCTCCATTAGTAGCCAATGCGTCACAACAACTAGATACGCGATCTCATAGTGACACCACATCAAACCACTCCTAAAATACCTGAACTGAGTAAGCATGTACTGCTCCTCAAGGTGACTCGGAGCACCATCAAAGGAATATAGAAATGAATGTGCTATAGACTCACCCAGTAGATTGTATGATGTACAAGAATTTCGAAAATAACAACTGCATTCAATACCCATTACAACTCCACCCACAAGCTGCCAATCATACAACTTTGCAAATAAACAGCCCCTTTTTCTAAGATCTTCAAACAATGTATGTGCCTCCTCTTTCTCAGTAGAACTTGTTAGAGCCATGAACTTAGAACTAAGTTCTGGATCCCATACAGAAAGATTCGCTGCATTTAAGGTTATGGTAACACATAAGAAATTAGCACCAGGATCAAATGAAAATCGATTCAAAATATGGTGATCAGTGAATC